ACCTGGCTTACTGAGACTATGTGTGAAAGGGATCTAGGAGTCCTAGTAAACCACAACATGAGTCAACAGTGTGATGCCACAGCTGAAAAGGCCAATGAGATTTTAGGCTGCATCAATAGAAGTATAGTATCTAGATCAAGGGAAGTAATAGTGCCACTGTATTCTGCTTTGGTCAGACGTTACCTGGAATTCTTTGTCCAGTTTTGGGCACCACAATTCAAAAAGGAAGTTGAAAAACTGGAGTGTATCCAAAGGAGGGTGACTAAAATAGTGAAGGGTCTGGAAACCATGCCCTACGAGGAATGACTTAGGGAATTGGGTATGTTTAGCCTGGAGAAGAGACAGTTAAGAGGTGATATGATAGCCCTGTTTAAATATTTGAAGGGATGTCATATGGAGGAGAACTAGCTTGTTTTCTGCTGCTCAAGAGAATAGGGCCCAGAACAACGAATGCAAGCTATAGGAAAAGAGATTCCATCTCAGCATTAGGAGGAACTTTCTGACAATGAGAGCTGTTCGACAGTGAAACACACTCCCTTGGAGAGTAGTAGAATCTCCTTCTTTGGAGGTCTTTAAACAGAGGCTGGATGGCCATCTGTGGGGAATGCTTTGATTTTGAGTTCCTGCATGGCAGGGGGGGGTTGGACTGGATGGACCTTGTGGTCTCTTCCAACTCTATTATTCTACCTGCTTAGCTTCAACTACATAAAAGCTTCATGTTCCCTCATTAATGAGTATTTTTACTTATTTAATACACTTTTACTTACTTAATACACTTATATTTACTTATTTAATACACAGTCAGTAAGATAGTGCGGGCCCTCAACCTTACAATCTAAACTTGATATGACACACAAGGAAAAGGTATGGAAATGGACACGGGGATAAGTACTGGTTGTAATTGGAGTCCATCAATGAAGCAACTCTCTCTCCTGGCTTCCCTTGTGCCTATGGCCCTGCCTACTTCCAGATATATTACTCAATCAAGCAGCCTTTTCAGCTGCCTCTATATTAACTCCTGCCAAAGGATTTTAGGATGGAGGGCTAAGCCAGGTGAAAAAGCTCAGTCCTTGATGATGGTCAAAGTATTCTGTATTGAAGTAAGTGCCATCAGCAAAACTTTCTAAGAAGCATTCAGTCAGAAGGAACAGATCTGGCGGGGAAGTTCTGTCTGTGATGGTGATGGATCTTTGCCTTGATCAATTTTACTGTTTTGAAAATTGAATTTCTTTATCTGTCCCTCTAGAGAAAGAGAGAGAAATGTTTTGATCATATAGTCACATTTAACTTTGTCTTGTTTGCAGGATTGTTGTTTGTGGAATAAACTCTGCTGGTTTATCAGATCACATAAGGCTGAAGAAATGGCTGAAGAAAGCATAAAACACAGAAAACAGAGTTCAGACCAAGGACCAGATGGACTTTCTGTTGCAAGCAAGCAGTCTAAATCTATGAATCTACAAAAAGAGGCAAGACTCTTGTAATGCATTATCTTTAATTATTGAATTTTGTGTTCAATTAAATGCATTTAATTGTGTGGCTCAAACATTCTGTTAACACTTTGTGTCTAAATTCATTCTTGGCTGCTGCTGCTATTATGCAAATTGTGATTTGCAGTATAATTGATAATATTGTTGTGTGCTCTTTCCTAATGGGTAAGAAGTTGCAAAGATAGCACTTACCTTACTTTGATTTAGTTTGGCAGAAGAGATCTCTGCAGTCGTGTGTCTGTAATATCTACCAGATATGCAGGATGAACATAAGTTAAGGAGACAGCTTAACATTCCTACAAGAGGTTCTACAGCCTCAGTATGAAATCCTTGGGGGAGTAACTAGGTGCTTCTAATTTTCCATGGCTCAAAGATATCTCTCTTCCAGCTTGTTTAAACTTTATATATTTAAAAGTTTCTATTCTAATCTCAGTTTCTCTCTCTTATTCTCATACTCTTTAGTTAGGCCCTCCCCCCACTTATGGGAAGGATGGGGGGTGAGAAGAGTTGGGATAATCTTTGCCCAAATGGATTTTGTTGTTGTTGTGTGCCTTCAATCTTTTCTGACTTATGGTGACCCTAAGCCAGACCTATCAAGATGTTTTCTTGTCAATATTTGATCAAAAAAGGTTTGCCATTGGCTTTCCCTGAGGCTGAGAGTGTGTGACTTGCCTCAGGCCACCCAGTGGGTTTCATGGCTGAGCAGGGAATCAAACCCTGGTCTCCAAAGTTATAGTCCAACACTCAGACCACTACACAACACTGGCTCCCTCTTACTTTCTAGAAAATCATTAGCTATAATTCCCCAAGACAACCAATGACCATGACTGGGGATCTTAGTGGTTTCTCACTTGTAGGGCTACCATAAGTAGAAATCTGACACCTTGGCCTTAGACTGTTAAAAATTTAAGTAGTCATTCTAGCTTCAGTAATCCTTTCTATTCAAATGCAACCTCCTTCAAGGCAATCACAATAATCCTATAGCAGTTTGTTTACATTAGCCTTTATAGTTTTGAATGAGAAAAAGGAGGAATTTTGCTATTGTTCTCCCAGCAGTCCAATACAGTTCCCCTTCCAATTTGTGGGGGATTTGTTCCAGACCCCCCCCCCCCGCTCCATTGAAACTAATGGTGCATGTGTCCGTGGTACCCACATGGGGCCATTTTAAACATAGGCACTTGTCCTTCCCAGCAAAGAGTGAGACCATGGACTCAAAGTCTGTGAATGGGGAGGGACAACTGTATTATATAAGACCCAAAGAGTTCGATATTCATCATATTATTTGTTGTTGGCAGAGCTTGAAGTAATGTTTGAGGGTATTTTTTAAAACTAAAACTCCCAGAATTCCTCACTTAGCATGGTCTTCTTGGCTGATGAAGTGGGCCAGAAGGTGACTGACTGAATGAGTTAAGGCAGTGGTACTCAAACCTTTATCCTTGGGACCCCTTTTACATCTACATACAAATGTTGTACCTCCCCACTCAACATAGTATATGAATAAAAATATTTTGTTTATTTAGTGTGCATATTTTTATTTGCACATTCATATATATTCATATGTTAACATTTTTATAAGGAAATAACATAGTTCAATATGAATTGGAGGGGTAAAAATAGGAGGAAGGAATATCAACAATCTAAGATATGCAGATGACACCATAATACTAGCAGAAAACCTCACAGACCTGGAACAACTACTAAGGGCCTTTGCAGACTGCCAGAAATAGTGCACTAATTGAGGCACTGTCCTGGCTCAGTGTTAGGGAATCATGGGAATTGTATTTTTTTCTGAGACATTGAGCCTTCTCTGTCAGAGAGCTCTGGTGCCACAATAAATTACAGTTCCCATGATTCCTTAGCACTGAGCCAGGGCAGTGCCTCAGTTTAATGTGCACTATTTCTGGCAGTCTGCAAAGGCCCTAAGAAAGATCAAGGAAGAATGTGCAAAAGAAGGCTTAAAGTTGAACATAAAGAAAACAAAAATAATGACTATGGAGAATCTAGAACAATTCAATCTAGACAATGAACATATAGAAACAGTAAAAAATTCTCATACCTGGGATCAAACATTGATAGAAACAGAGACTGAAGCCAGGAAATAAAAAAACAAGATTAAGAATGGCTATGAAAGAAGTAGAAAAGATCCTAAAATGCAAAGACATACAACTGAGCACAAAAATTGGAATCATACAAGCCATTGTATTCCTTATTACTATGTATGAATGTGAGAGCTGGACAGTTAAGAAAGATGACAGGAAGAAAATCAATGCATTTGAGAGAATGTGGTACTGGAGAAGAATTCTGAGGATTCTGTGGACAGCCAAACAGACAAACAAATGGGTCCTAGAGCAGATCAAGCCAGAAATCTCCCTGGAAGCCAAAATGACTAAACTTAGGCTGTCATATTTTGGGCATATCATGAGAAGAGAAGACTCATTAGAGAAAAACGATAATGCTGGGAAAGATGGGGGGAAATAGAAAGAGAGGAAGGCAACATGCAAGATGGATGGACTCTATTAAAGATGTCATGGGTATGGGGTTACAGGAACTAAGCAGAATGGTGAAGGACAGGGAGTCTTGGAGATGTCTCATCCACAGGGCCACCATGGATCCAGAGCAACTTGAAGGCAGTTTGCAACAACAAAAACATAGTTAAAATTAGAACACTTTATTTAAGCAGATTCAATATTTAACTCAATGCATGTGTAAATTTTACACATAAAGTTTGGGAAGAGGAGGCGGAGGGATCAAGGGCCTCCAAAGTCTTGTGCCTCCCTTGATCAAGTCTTGTGCCTGCTTAGGGGTCCTGCCCACTATTTGAGCTCACTGAGTTAAGGGGATATTAGTACCACCTTACAATAAGGCAGGACTGAACATGGCTAAAGGAAGCTGTTACAAAGCCTCTGTTGGTATTCAGCACACATATGTTCACCATTAACAGAAATGCATGTCATAATTCAACAGAGATAAGAATCAAGAATATTTAAACTCTTAGTAAAATCAGTGGGTTTAAGTGTGCTTGGCTTCTTGGATTGCAATGCTGGCAAAATTTGTGCCATGTAAAAAAGTGGAATTTACCTATTTTCATGCATTCATTTATTAAAAGGGTGATACAATAAAATAAAATAAAATCTCAGGGTGATACAATAAAATAAAATAAATAACATTGTAAAAATAAAAGTGTTTCTAAAACACTTCAGAAACGTTAAATACACTGCTAAAAATTAATTAAACACAGTCCAAACTCCTGATTAAAATAGGTCTAAAACTAGACAAACTGTTTAAAACACAGCTGGAACAAACAAAGATCCAAGGGCCATGCAAAATAGTAATCTTCACAGCCAGCTGGAAACTCAGAAGGGATGGAACCAGCCTGACCTTCTTTAGGAATGAATACTAGTGTCCCGATTCTAAGTTGACTCAGAAGTAAGTCCTGTTGATTTGGGGCCAAATTAGATGCAAGACTGAAGATCCAGAAGTAGGACTGCCTGTAGATTTTGTTTTGCTCCTGAGCGGTCTCTTTTCAGTTTCGCTCTGAAGATAGGAGAATGACAGCATGAATGAAAATGCTTAACTGTTTCCCTGATGTATTTTATGCTCTGATGTATTATCTTAGTGAGGACAGGGAGAAGAGAAAAGAAACTCCTGTATTTTATCCTCATGGATGAATAGCTTGGGTGAGGCAGGTTATATTGAGCAAAGGACATAGTGAGAAGGCTTAGAACGCCCTGTCTCAAAGTACCAGATCATAATCTTCAAAGTGACTGACTGAGGCTGCCAACAAGCTACTGGGAGAAATCCTAACTGTCACTTCTAGTCTGATCACTCAAAATCAAGCCTGGTTCCAGGAACTAAAATTATTGGGCAGTTGCCAAGGTCCACACGATTTTTGGGAGCCCACTGCCCACCTTCAAAGCCCCTTGAAAGCTTCCTTGCCATGCTGTCTTGGTCTCCTGTCCTATGAAGCTGTGCAAACCCTGACAGCTTTAAGGAAGTACATCCTCTACTTGCCTTGTGTTCTGTGTGTGAGGTGAGGTCAAGTGCAAAGTGAAGCAAGGACAGTGACAGCAATAGCAATAGCAAATGCAAGTACATTTCTATACCGCTTATCAGTGAACTGGCACTCCCTAAGCAGGTTTACAATCTGCAAGCTAATTATCCCCAACAAGCTGGGTACCTACGAAAGGATGGAAGGCTGAGTGGACCTTGGAGCCCTCCTCTAGGATCAAACTTACAACACTGTGACTGCAGGACCAGCATTTAACCACTGTGCCACCAGTGATGAAGAGGAGGTAGGCTGACTAGGGGAGGGGCTTATTAAGGACCCCCTTTCCTTAGTCTGGAACAGATTCTAGAACAGTTACTTTTTCAGGCCATGCTACTTCTGACTGTAAGCTTTCATGTAGAAGTGCATCAAAAATATAATCTTTTACTCTTCAACTCCCAGTATCCCTAAGGGATTCTGAGACCTTTAATCCAAAAAATAACTTTTCCAAGATTTGAACTATGTTTAGAATGAGACATATTCCCCTGGTCCTTAGGAGGCGCAAATTCACTTAATATGTTTTGTGTTGTGCAAAACCCCCCCAAAATGATCCAGTTAGCAGGTATAGTTTTAACGCTTCACAACAGGCAAGCAAAGTGATCATAGTGGCCCCTGAGTTAATTAATAAAGTGTCAGCTGCTAAATAGGGAGGTGATCATGAAGCATCCTGCAGTTTAAAAGTGATGCTTCTGTTCCTGAAATGCTTGGCTGATGTTTGCATTGTAGCACATTCTGTCTTGTCTTATTATACCTGACAACAGCAATCGAAAAGCTAAGCACACAAGCCCTGCTCAGGCCCATTTGCTAGGTTTAAAATTAGAACTTACAAGTTGTTTTCTGGGAGCTGAACACAAAGAAAGGGCTGTTTAAGGACAGAGTGTTTCTTACCCTGTATTCCTTATCTGTCTAAGAAAGGTCTGTAGCCTCAAGTAATGACATGTTCTACATAAGTAGCATGTTCTCAGGTACAAACAAGCAAACATTCTCAGGGATAAATGAAAGCTATTGATTTGTAAACTGGTTTGCCAAACCATTTCTTTTTACCCTGGAAATGTCTATCAAAGCTGCAGTACAGAAGAAGCATTTTCCTTGTGAGTAAAGCCTACATTCTACCTTATTAACTTTCTGTTGGCTTTGTGTGGAATATAGTTGCTTGGAACTGGTACCAATGATTGCTTTAAGTAAAAAGAAAACATTTATTATGGATAGTGTTGACAGGTTTTCAAAACAGCAGTGTGTGTTCTATTTAATTGCTAAATGAAAGTATTGATTTCAGTTGACCTAGCTATGTGTTTCTCTGTAAAATTAACATATTGCCCATATTTATGAATCACATGATGCACACATGAGCCCACACCCCAAAATACAGGATTTTTTGGCATGTTGTTCAGTCTATATAAAAGGAAAATCTTTTCATCCCTGAAATAGGGGACATCCTTTGTAATGGGGAACACCTGCCACATTATAAGGGACAAACTCTCCAACCCTTAAATATGTTAGAGATGGAAGGATGGGGTCTGTTGAGCACCGCTACACAACTAAGGACGTTATCACACGTGGGCCAGAAAGCGAAAATAAAGTG